GAAAATATGAGGTCTAACAGTAAATAGGAAGTACCAGACTCTTCTAATTAGAGCTTATAATCTAACAGTAAATAGGAGGTACCAGACTCTTCTAATTAGAGCTTATAATCTAACAGTAAATAGGAGGTACCAGACTCTTTAACTAGAGCTTATTATCCAACAGTCAACAGAACTTATGAGACCCTCCTCATTACAACTTAGAGCTTCTAATTAGAGTTTATAATCTAACAGTAAATTGGGAGGTACCAGACTCTTCTAATTAGAGCTTATTATCCAACAGTAAGGCCTCATTCACACGAGAAACGGTCAGCACGTACAGCTCTGTGCTGTGTGCACGGCCGTATCGGGCAGCTCCCGGGAAGGACAGGTGCTGCGTGTGATTAGTACGCAGCCCTTGTCCTTCCCTATGGGAGTACGCGGCCAGACGCCGCCCTACGTTCACTCGCCCTGCACGTCCATGCGGGTGTCCGTACTCGTACGTTGACAGGATGGATCCTGTCTGTGTCCGAGCCGGGACACCCGCACGGACCTGCACTTGGGGTGAGCGTAGGGCGGCGTACGGCCGCCTACTCCCATAGAGAAGGACAAGGGCTGCGTACTAATCACACGCAGCACCTGTCCTTCCCGGGAGCTGCCCGATACGGTCGTGCACTGAGCTGTACGTGCCGGCTGTTTCTCAAGTGAATGGGGCCTAAATAGGAGGTACCAGACTCTCCTAATTAGAGATCATTATCTAACAGTCAACAGAACTTATGAGACCCTCCTCATTAGAACTTACGGTATACTTGATCAGTGAATAGGAGGTATGAGACCCTTTATAATTAGAATGTATCCAATAGTGAACATGAGGCATGAGACTCTCCTAATTAGAGCTTATTATCTAACATTTTCGGGTAGTTTAAAGGTTCTCCTCATTTAAGCGTATTTATTAGGGGGGCAGGAGGTAAGCAGGTTCTCTCATACAGCTTACTAAAAACAGAATATAGGAGGATCCTCCTCATTAGAACTTATTGACTAATAAGGAACAAGTTTGCAATAAAGCTCATTACCAACATAAGGTAGGAGGGTCCTCATTACAGCTTACCATCAGGAACAGGAGATAGTAAGCCATGTTAAGGAGAATCACAATTTCTAACAGTAAGCAGAAGGTAAAATGTCCCTTTTCATTAGAGCTTATTATGTAACAGGTAACAGGAGATATCAGGATCCTCCCTAATAGAGATTATCTAATAGAGAACAGAAGGTATGACGGCCTTTAGGACTAGTGCTTACAATCCAATAGGGAACCAAGGATACAAGAAGTCTGATCATCAGAGCTTATTCTCTATAAGGAACAGGAGGCAGGGGGATTTAAGGGTTTTCCTCATTACAGGGAAAGGAAGAGATGAAGGTGTTCTTTATTAGAGCTTATAACCTAACAGGGAACCAGAAGCATGAGTCTCTTAGAGCTTACTGGACATGAACAGGAGGTATAATAGCTTACTCTAAAATACAGAAAAGGAGGTATGAGTGTTCTCCCAATTAGAGCTGACGCTCCAATATAGAAAAGGAGGCATGAGTGTTCTCCCAATTAGAGCTGACTCTCCAATATAGAAAAGGAGGTATGAGTGTTCTCCCAATAAGAGCTGACTCTCTAATACAGAAAAGGAGATATGAGTGTTCTCCCAATTAGAGCTGACTCTCTAATACAGAAAAGGAGAGATGAGTGTTCTCCCAATTAGAGCTGACTCTCTTATATAAAAAAGGAGGTATGAGTGTTCTCCCAATTAGAGCTGACTCTCTTATATAGAAAAGGAGGTATGAGTGTTCTCCCAATTAGAGCTGACTCTCTTATATAGAAAAGGAGGTATGAGTGTTCTCCCAATTAGAGTTTACTCTCTTATACAGAATTCACTAATTACAGAAAGTCTGACAAAACAAAGAGTTTCAGACAAGGTGCAGCACAGGAGAAGTCCTGGATTCCAGAAGAGGAGGTGGTAACAAAGAAAAATAAAAGATGTTAACAAATCAGAGATCTCTTTCACATGTTTCCAATCCATTCATATCCTTCTTACCAGCTTTGCAGCTGCAGGCAGCGTACAGATACCCGTTCCTCCGCAGCAGGCGGCACTCGCCGTATGGGCCGCAGTCATTCAGGCAGGGGCTGAGGTAGGCCGACACGATCACTTTGGCCACCTCCTGTTGACATGCGCTGAAAAAAAAAAAAGATGATTGGCAAAACATATGTATTACAATTCCGTTATTGGTGCTCTATGGAAAAACCCAACATGCCAACGTTTCTTTAAAAGACGATTTCTGATTGGATGAGCGTAGACAATGACACACGACTGCTACCTGCATTGTGTTATTAAAGGGTCAGCCCACTGGACTCCACCACCAATATGAACGCATTGCACCTTGTGTTCAAATTTAGCATAGCATGCATAATTACTAACTATATTATTACAGATTAGTTTTTTTAATTCAAACACTGTCCCCATTTCCTGAAATGACAAAACAACATTCATATAGACAGGATTTCCCATATTCGTCATCCCCCTGCTCATGTCAGTGTCTCACTTCCTGCCCCAGAACTATTTGAACCACGTGCAGCATGTTACAGGTAGTATTGAATCTCCAGCAGTGTTTAATGCACATTCACATCAGTCCCTGCCCTCAAGGAGCTTACAATCTAAGGTCCCCATCTCACATACAGGGCCAATGTAGACAGGAGCCAATTAACCTTCCAGCATGTCTTTGGAGGGTGGGAGCCTGGGAGGAAACCAGAGAACTCAGAGGAAACCCATGCAAGTACAGGAAGAACATCCTTGCAGATAGTGTGCTGACTAAATGGGGGACCGCGGTGCCGCAAGGCAGAAGTGCCAATCACGAAGCCACTGTGCTGCACTGATTATAGTAAAGGTCCTCTCACTTAGGGAATGCCGATCTCAGTACTTACAGCAAAAAGCATGTAAGCAACTGCAATACATTTTCTTAATTCCTAGCCAGGCATGGAGATTGCCCAGACTGGCTTGGTGGTTAGCACATCTGCCTTGCAGCATCAGGGTCCTCTTGGCCAGGACACTATCTGTATGGAATTTGCATGTTCTATCCAGGGGCGTCCCGAGGCCGGGTGACACCCCGCAGTGACGTCATTGCGCATGCGCGTGACATCACCATGCGCAGTCATCTAACCGACGCCTGCCGGCGTCCATCACCAAGAGAGGAGGGGACATTCACCCGGAGGGATGAGGTATGCCGCCAGGTCCTCTCCTCTCTCCAGACACTGTCGGGCTCTCGGTCCATGACCAAGTGCCCGACTTAATAGAGGGGGCGACACCAAAATTACTGTCATTTTGGTGTCACCCCTCCAATGTTGTCACCCGGGTGCGGGCCGCACCCCCTTTGTGACGTCACTGGTTCTTGCATAGGGTTTAGTCCGGGTACTCTGGTTTCCCCCCGCACTCCAAAGACATGCCGCGGCTCCTGTCTACATTGACCCTAGTACCTGTGTGCATGTGAGATAGGGACCTTAGATTGTAAGCTCCTAGGGATACTATCACCGACGTAAAAGGAATAGTATGTAAAGAGCGGTTGTAGAAATGTCTGTAATACTAAATAAATATTAAGCCTCTCATATATAAAGCATACATTCACATTTCATTAAAGGGTTGGCGATGTGCAGAGCGGCATTTAATCTCAGCTGGGAAGTGTCCAAAATGTCTGCTGTCCGGGGAGCCTGTTTCTAGGCTGTCAGCAGGCAGACCAACACGGGAACCCAATGCTGCAACACCTTCTGATGTTGACACCGGGGATAACTATAATATTCACTCAGTGACAGGTTACATCACACGCACAGAGCCAGGTGTCGCTGTTCAGCAGGAAGTAATGAATATTTTATCACGGATAATCCCTTTCTGTACTGTGCAGGTTGTGTCGAATGTTAGTATTCTACCTCTTCGCTCTCATCCTAAAGCTGGGAAAGATCAAGGGAAATATAAATGGGGGGACAGAATCTGCAGAATAGTAACCAATCAGATTCTCTCTTCAGTTACGCTTTGAAAATGAAAGCTAGAAGCCGATTGGTTGCCATGCACACCGGCTCTAGTTTTGATAAATTCCCCTCTGTGTGAACATTAGGTTGACATTGTTCACCAGTGGCGGTACAATCGCCATAGCGACCCCTATGGGGCCCGGCCAGGACATTCTCCTGATGCCGTGCGGCCTGCCTGGGCCGCCATGGCATCTCAGGCTGCTGGCTGTCACTGGCGGCTGTGAGGAGAAACACGCCGATATTCACATCACTGACAACCTGTCAGTGATGTGTGCAGCGGCGCGTTCCTCTTCACAGCCGCTGCTGAGTCAGTGACAACCAAGAGGGCTTTACCGCCCACCTGAGACCCTGCAGAGCCCACCATAGAGAGCCTATGGTGGGCTCTGCAGGGTCACTCTCAGGTGGGCTGTTTGGGTTATCAGGTGGGTGTAACTAGAAATCACAGGGCCCCATACAACATTTTGCTATGGGGCCCTGTGATTTCTAGTTATGCCCCTGTGTTCACCTAATATATCATGTCACGTTTATAGGTTGTCATGGTCAATTTTTAAGGCTCCAGATGCGTATTCAGCACGTCCAGGATTTCGGTGTACAGTACATCCACCCCTCTGGTGAACTGGTTGTTCTCTTTCTACAAAATGTGCACCTCATTGTCCTCCAAAGAATGTCCCTGGACAGAGGCCATCTACGTCAAACTGGAACAACCATCCCTCAACAAGGGTGGAGGCAGAGCTGTAGCTAGTTTCTTTTGCGCCTAAGGCATAAACAGAAAATTGTGCCCCCCCCAACAGACTTGTGCGGTATGTGACGTCATGCACCCCACCTCCAGGATAGCAGCGCACATGCGCAGATGGCCAAATCCAAAATAGCCTAAAAATTTGTTTCGTTTGACGAAACTTATGAAAACATTTTTAGTTTACGTTCATTTCATCCGAAATAAATTTTTAGTCCTTGCACATATCTAGTGTGTCTAATATGTATGCATGAGTGTGTGTGTGGGGGGTGTTTTTTATTATTATTTTTTACTGTTGGGGGGCTTCGGGGAAATATCAGGGGTCTCTCCAGACCCCTGTTATTTCCCTTTTGAAATAGAAAAATAGATTGAGGACACAGAGTCCTCTGCCCATACAGGTTCGGGGAGAGCAGCGGGGACCCGGGGAGACCCCTGCCGAGCCGCGGCTGTGTTGGCTGCCTGGCGCCCCTGCTGCCAATGGCGCCCTGTTCTCGCCATGGCAACAGGGGCAAGGGGGCACAGCCAGGCCGGCTCTGGCTGCGCCCCCTCTCAGCTGCACCTGAGGCGAGTGCCTCACTCGCCCCATGGTAGCTACAGCCCTGGGTGGAGGCCGTCAACATCATTTGTCTTCCATGTATAATGCCGTTTTAACATCTCTATCCTGGCAATGTGACAAAAATTTACACCTCCAGCCATGTGAATGAAAGGATTAACAGCAATGCAGACTTCCTGCTACCATGGGTGGCATTTTGTAATTAAAACAGGTTGGTTCCATAACTTTCACATGTCTCATCCTTTTCCTGTACAGTCAACATCTACACATTCCGTGGTGATTGGATTGAGGCGTCTGTGATGCCCGTGTGGTTATAAATGCTAGGCATGTTCCTCGATACTAATTAGAACTGAAGAAGTGGCTTGGATGAGCTACGAAAAGTCTTCAACATCACAAGACAAGGCCAGTTGAGCATGATTAACTACTAAAAGCTATACCATGACCAGAGGCGTCCCGAAGCGGGGTGACACCCGGTGCGGATACATGGTGACACTCTGCAGTGACGTCATGACGCCACGTGCTGTACCGATGTTATCTGCCGGCGGCCATCTTGGTGATGGACGCTGGCAGAGAGAGGAGGGGGACGTGCACCCGGCGGGATCCCCTTCTTTTATCGAGCAACTGTCGGGCTCTCAGTCCATGACCGAGTGACCGACTTTTCAGAGGGGGCGACACCAAAAATGACTGTCAGTCATTTTGGTGTCACCCCCCCTTGTGATGCCACTGACCATGACCAGGATAGAGGAGAACCTTCACAGACAAGAGAAGCCCAACATTAGCCAAGGCAGCTGAAGCCCCCTGGGGTTCTTTTTATAAAACAAAAAATATTTATCCAGGGAAACAGCATGTATGTTCCTTATATGCGAATTCATCAGGTATTGTGAGAAAGAGGCAAAATCAAATGTTCTTAGGCTATTTTATTGTCTGTTCAAATGTTCTTAGGCAATCTCTCTTCTGATCGAAGGTTTTTAGGCTACTTCTATTCAAATGTTGTTAGGCTATTTTCTCTTCTGATCAAAGACTTTTAGGCTATTTCTCTTCTGTTCATATGTTCTTAATTAGGGACACGCTGATACTAGTATCGGTATTGATGCCGAGTATTTGGGCACGTACTCGTACTCGCCCAAATGCTCCGATGCCGAGCCCGATACTTCAGCTTCCTGTATCAGGAAGCCGGACAAAGAGTCATTACACGCTGCCCATCTTCCTGATTGGCCGGGAAGCCGGCTCCATGCTCCCTCGCCACCTCGTGACAAGGGAGCATGCAGCCGGCTTCCTGGCCAACCAGGAACCCGGGCGCCGCGTCATTACTCGGCGTCCAGCTTCCCGATTGGCCAGAAAGCCGGCCCCATGCTTTCTCGTCATCTAGTGACGAGAAGCATGGAGACGGCTTCCCTGGTAATTGGGAAGTCGGGTGGCGAGACATTAGACGCCGCTTGGCTTCCTTAATGAGACTTCTGGTATTCAGTATCGGCGAGTACCGGAAAAAAAATATCGGTACTCGATACCGAAAAACCGGTGTCGGTGCATCCCTATTCTTAATCTATTTTCTCTTCTGAGCCAAGTTTTTTTTAGGCCATTTCCCTCAAGTTCAAATGTTCTTAGTTAACCCTTGCAGTGCTGGGGTATCCCCACTGCAAGGGTTAACTTGTTACATTCCTGGAGATAATGTAACGATATATCATTGCATACAATGTACAATGTATCTAGGAGTGGCTGGCTGCCACCAATGTCAACAGTGTGGGCAAGAAGCCAGTTTGTACAGTACAAAGTATGTATTCACATCTCATTACCTATAGATAGGGATTCAAACCTGAATCCCTATCTATACCTTCACCAGGACAGGTAATCAGAAGGGAATGCATACGTATACAAACCGGCTTCTTACTCACACTGTTTGCTGACATTTGCGGCAGTCAGTCACTCCCAGGTACATTGTATGCGATGATACAGAGCCGCTTTATCTCCCGAATATAGCAGACGGTAATCACTTCTTTCCTGATTACTATTGTAACTTGTATGTTGCCTACTTCTCAGTCTTTGACATTTCTTTAGACACTGATGCGGGATAAAGAACATAGGGGGTGTGTTGCGCTGATGCTTGTACCGCTGTACATTTGCTGCAATCACATACCCGCAATACTTTTAAAGCTCCGCATTTTTAAGCTCTGCATTTCATCTTGAGGGATTACCATTTCACAACTGCTGTTTTCTGCTCCATGTTTTATTAAAGACACTAGAGCTGCAGCTAATGATTATTTTCAAAATCGATTAGTTAGTCGATTATTAAGTTCGATTAATCGGATAAAAAATAAAATACATTTTAAAAAATGGCTCCAGTAATGGACTACTAGTTTGTATTGAGTGTAGTCCATCACAGGAGCAAGCTTGGAGCAGTGGACGTAAAAAAGAAAACAAAAGTGTGGTGTGCAATATAGTGAAATGAAAAGTGTAAAGTTATACAGCAATGAATGCAGAATGGCATCGGCTATAGAGGACTACAAAATCCCAGGAATAAATCATACCGCACAATGCAGAATACCACCAGCTATAGAGGAATACAACAAATCCCAGCAATAGTACACTATACATACAGTGTATAATGTATTGCTGGGATTTGTATTCCTCTGTATAATATACAGCACAATGTACCATCAGCTATAGAGGAATACAACAAATCCCAGCAATAGTACACTATACATACAGTGTATAATGTATTGCTGGGATTTGTATTCCTCTGTATAATATACAGCACAATGTACCATCAGCTATAGAGGAATACAACAAATCCCAGCAATAGTACACTATACATACAGTGTATAATGTATTGCTGGGATTTGTATTCCTCTGTATAATATACAGCACAATGTACCATCAGCTATAGAGGAATACAAATCCAAGCAATACATTATAGAGCACCATGTGTGGGAAAGTGCAGGCTTACCTGTCTATCGGCAGCTGTCCCCTGCTCCTCCTTACTACTTCTCCCCACGTCCCTGTGCCGATCGTGGATGTGGGCGGTGAACGTGAGGCGGGGAGGAGATGCGACGTGTGGAGCGTGGATGCGGGCGGATCTGGCAGCGGCGAACATGAGGTGGGGAGGAGGTGCGGCGCACAGCGTGTGTGGAGCCATAAACAGGGCCAACCAATCAGAAGCCGATTAATCGATGATTGAAAAAGTTGACAACTTTTTCAATAATCCATTATAAATCGATTATGTCGATTAGTTCTTGCAGCCCTAAAAGACACACAAGTGCCGAGGTCTCTTTTGTACAATTATTTTATGATGAATAATAATTTTTAGAGAAAAGACTAAGAACAGCAAAAACAGAACAGAAAATAGCCTAAAAATTAGGGATGCACCGATACTGGTATCGGTGCCCATGCAGAGTATTTGGGCGAGGACTCGTACTCGCCCAAATGCTCCAATGCCTAGCCCGATACTTCTGGTATCAGGAAGCCGGGCAGTGAGTCATTACATGATGCCCAGCTTCCCGATTGGCAGGAAGCCGGCTTCCCTGGCTGGTTGGTGAGTCATGACTCACCTGACTGGTGAGTCATTACACGCTGCCCGCCTTCCTGATTGGTCAGGAAGCTGGCCAATCAGGAAGCCGTACGTCATGTAATGACGAGGGAGCATGGAGTCATTACACAGTGCCGGCTTCCTGATTGGCCAGAAAGCCGGCTCTATGCTTTCTAGTCACCTGGTGACCAGAAACATGGGGACGGCTTCCCTGCTAATCAGGAAGCCAGGTGGCGAGTCATTAAATCGGACTTCTGGTATCGGCGAGTACCGAAAAAAAAATATCGGTACCCATATTCGATACCGAAATAACGGTGTCGGTGCATCCCTACTAAAAACATTCAATTTTACTCCATTCTCACAACAGCTGGTTTAGTCACACAAAACCAATGCACATACAGTTTCACTGGATGAATATGCATTTTTTTTTTAAATAAATAGACCCTCAGGGGCAGCGCAAGGCAAACCCCAGCCCTCCAGCTGTGGTGCAACTACAAATCCCTTGAGGGACTCTTGACAGCCTCAGACACGACTCCCAGAGGCAGATGAATGATGGAGCTTGTGGTTTCACCACAGATAGATGGCCGGAGTTTGCCCACCCCCGCTCTAGTGTCTTCAGCTGCCTTGAGCAATGTTGGACATCTCTCCTCTGTGAAGGTTCTCATTTATTCGGGTCATGGTATAGCTATTAGTAGTTATTCACATTCAGCTCGACTTGAAGACAATTCAAAGCTCCTCCAAGCCACTTCTTCATATCCAATAAGTGTTGGAAACATACCCCCAAAGTTATATCCACACAGGAAGCGGAGATCCAATCCAATCACCATGGGATGAGTGATCCAATCACCATGGAATGATCCAATCACCCCTAATCCAATCACCATGGAATGAGTGAAGACCCTGTAATACAGGGGTGGGCAACTTCGGCCCTCCAGCTGTTGCAGAACTACAAGTCCCATGAGGCATTGCATTTACAGGGATGACTCCCAGAGGCATGTTGGCATTTGTACTTAAAACACAGCTGGAGTTGCCACCCCTGCCTTAATATGTGTCTGTGCCAAATCCAACAAAGAACATTTCAGCTGCTCAATTTATTGCTAGCACAGAAAAGGAGTGCACATGGGCAGGGGTAATATGCTGAACAGACAGTTTAGCGTTAAGGACTGAACTTTGCAAAGGTGTCCAGATGTGGCAATGTGTCTTAACTGAAATACTGGAACAGTTTATTTAGGTCTTTTTGTGCTGGGGAATTTGTGTAATGATCGTTGGAATTATTTATAAAATGATCTATGCAGCTGCCATAATTGATTGTTCTTTGTTGCATTTGGTACGGACGGGGTCTTCAGCTGCCTTGCGCAAAGGCTGGGCTTCTGGAATGTTGCTCTAACGTCTGTGAGGTACAAATGACCATTAGAGGGGGCACAAACACAATACAGCAAGCAAGTAAAAAGCTACAACGATAACTCAAAATGTGTATATAGTAAAAGTAGAATGCAGATTCTCTTTAAGGCCCCTTACACACGCACATTCCGCTCAGGTCCACCTGTTAGTTTTTCAGGTGGATCTGATCGGAAGGTCAATGTTAGTCTATGGGCGGGATCATATCAACAGACAGGCTATTGTTTACATCTGATTACCTCTGAGTCTGTCCAGGTCAAAAAAAAAGGAAAAAAAAAAAAGAAATGCAAAAAGGTTTGCAAACTTTTCCATTCTTTGGACCTAAATGGAATGGATGTAAATGGACTCACGTCAGCTTACATCTGCTTGTCTATAGACCCGAGATGGGTTTAATAAAGAAAAACGCCAGGTTTTAGAAAAATCAACACTTGCAGTAGGGCTACCCCTGCACTGCAAAGGTTAATCGCTTGCTTTTTCCTAGGGGCTCAAATAAAGAAGGGATACTCAGCCAATCTTTGGTCCCCCTGGGCTGCTAGACCGGCCCCCAGTGGTCTAAACCCTGCTGACACCATCACATCTAATACAGTCCATTTACCTGTATTAGACGTGAGGACGCAGAGGGACATACCACAGCTGGAGGGGGTAGAGAGGAGAGCGATCGCTGCCGCAGGACCGAGGATCGAGTATTTCTTCAATGAGCCTCTAAAGAAAAACAAGCAGTTAACCCTGGCAGTGTGGGGGTAGCCCCACTGCCAGGGTTAATTTTTCTAAAACCTGGAGTTCTTCTTTAAGCATCATTTTTAACCTATTGCAAGATGGAGGCGAAAATTGAATGGACGCAGATGCCGCAAAAATGACATCTGTTCTGTTCTGCTGTGGTTCAGAAAGAGAATCTGTTCACGATTCCTCTGCTGCTTGGAATGAACATCATCCTTGTGAAGGAGGCCCCAAGGTCAGTGAATGATTTACAACAAAATGAAGATTCTTGTTCTGTACCTGTCATTATCTGAACACAATATCTGCATAGAGAGGTACCATCTGCCTGTCTCGGGGTACGGTATGTTGTACGTGTCTCCGTAGGCGGCTGCGGTTAATCTGTAGGAATAGCCCTGGGAAAAAGCTACGGGAGAAAGGGAAAAAAAGGGTCAGAAATATTATACGTGCAAGAACAGTACAAAGATACAAACGCACGCTCCAAATACAACAGATGGGATGCCAAGTCATATAAAGTTGAACAAAAAAAACAGACAGACACATTCCCAACATGCAACTGGATGATCCTGAACTGGCAAACATACAGCTCTGTTTTGAGAATGTGCATGTTGGAGATTCCACAGGGGGTCCGGTCTTCTCTCCTGGTGTGTAATTGGAGCCGTGGGGTGAAAGGAAGGTGAGGTGCAGTATGTGCAGCTGGGAATGGGGGTAGTTAAAGTGCATGTAAACCCAAACACTAAAATCTCATATAAGCTTTAACGTCCCAATTAGGGATGCACCGATACCGGTTTTTCAGTATCGAGTACCGATATTTTTTTTTTCCGGTACTCGTCGATACCAACACTGGAAGTCCCATTAAGGAAGCCAGGCGGCATGTAATGACTCACCACCCAGCTTCCCGATTAGCAGGGAAGCCGTGTCCATTTTCCCTCATCACCAGGTGAGGCGGAAGCATGTAGCCAGCTTTCTGGCCAATCAGGAAGCCGAGCGCCATGTAATGGCTCGTTGACTGGCTTCCTTATTGGTCAAGAAGCTGGCCAATCAGGAAGCTGGCAACCAGTCATTACAGGGCGCACGGCTTCCTCATTGGCCGGGAAACCGGCTCCATGCTCCCTCTTCACCAGGTGACGAGGGAGAATGAAGCTAGCTTTCTGGCCAATTAGAAAGCCGGGGGATGGGTAATGAATCGCCGTCCAGCTTCCTGATTAGCCAGCTTCCTGACCAATCAGGAATCTAGACAGCGAGTCATTACACGCTGCCCCACTACCTGATTGGCCGGGCAGCCGGCTCCATGCTCCCTCATCACCGGGTGGGGCAGCGTGTAATGACTCGCAGCCCAGCTTCCTGATACCTGAAGCTCAGGTATCGGGCTAGGCATCAGAGCATTTGGGGGAGCACGATTACTCGCCCAAATACTCAGCATCAGCGCCGATACTGATGCTAGTATCGGTATCGGTGCATCCATAGTCTTAATGACATATTAAAAGTCATTTTCAATCTTTTTAGATCCGCAGCTTTCATTAAAATAATCCCTGGTGATCCTGCCATTAAGGTCCCTGTCCTGGCACTTCCTGACAAAGCCCAGTCACCCAACTGCTCCCCTATAGTGGTACCCTGGGCTTCCGCTGGAGACTACAAGTGGCCCTAGGGCCAGAAAACCTTCAACAACCAGCTGCAGGTGCCTAAAGTAGAAGTAAACCTTTGCGTAAATGCCCTAATGTGCAAGTATGATGTGCAATTACCTACCAGTGTGCCCTTCTCCAGCGCTGAATGATCAGTCTTCAGTCCCTAGCTCAGTCCCCTGCCGCCGCCATCTCCAGCGCCGACACTTCAAGGTGCCCAGAAGTCCTTTTTGGTCACTGAGTGGCCCTGTTGATGTGCATGAGCACAGGAGTTACATCCTCCCCGACACCCCGCCCATTGACAGCATTTGCACCACACAGTAAATAAAAAAAATTGCTGGGGAGAAAGGAATCATTTTTTTGGCAGAGACTTTGCATGACTCTCCTGCCAAAAATCCCTTCCACCCAGCGATTTTTTATTTTACTGACCTTGCTTCCACAATAAGGCTCGTCATGGACCCATCTCATATCCATATATGAAAGATAAAAGATAAAATCCAAAAGTCTGTCGTTTATTTGAACAATGAGTACATCACCCGTGGGGCGCATTTCAACCATAAATGTACTTAGTCGTAAAGATTCCTCTACAACCAAGCCCTTTAATACTAGAATTGTATCTGAGCATTACAGTATCAAAACAGAGGCACACTGCCAAAGGTTTTTTTTTTACTATTATTAAAACAGTGTAGCAAATTAAATCTGTATATTTTCCTCAAAATTATTCAGGTGGGCGAATTGGTCACAGAGTTATGGTCAACTTAATAAATGTAAATGGCTGCTGCTAAATTTGGTCAAGGGCTAGGCATATAGGCATCAATGACCTCTGGGTATCAAACGGTTACATTCCAAGATGAAGCTGGGAAAGTATCGTCCTAGGGAGGAGATAAAGGCAGGCCCTATGTAGGTCACGCCAGGTGTGCTTTAACGTCAATGTCACCTGAGGTAGTATCGGAGGCCTGTATGGTAAACTGGTAACAGGTGTATCCGAGCTCATATCAAAGTTTTACCCACAGGCCAAATACCTGACAAATATCATTTTACACATGGGAACAGGGGTGACGTGATTTGTCCTACCTGTTGGTCTGGTACACTATTCAAGTTTGTACACGCTCAGTGATGTGCACCTTTCTGCAGCATACTTCTACTAGGCCGCACCTGCAGTCATCACGATGCAGCCTCTGCCTAGCCCAAAGGAACGAATGCAGATGCCTCCTCTGTCTTCGGTCAATAGCGGCACTTCAAAGCTAGACTGCAGGCAAATGGCTAAATACACAGGGAGCGGTTTTATCTTCCGAAGAATTTGTATTTCTGTCCATCCAGTCACACAGCACGGCACTGTCAGACCGGATTGTTTCCATCTGCAGTTCAGTAACACTTAGGCCTCATTCACACGAGAACAGGCCGGCACATACAGCTCCATGCTGCTGCACGGCCGTATCGTGCAGCTCCCGGGAAGGACAGGTGCTGCGTGTGATTAGTACGCAGCCCGTCCTTCTCTATGGCACTACGCCGCCATACGCTGCCCTACGCTCACCCCATGTGCAGGTCCGTATGGGTGCGGGTGTTCCGGCTCGGACGCAGACAGGATCCATCCATCCTGTCAGCGTACGAGTATGGACACCCGCACGGACATGCAGGGCGGGTGAGCATTGGGCGGCGTACGGCCGCGTTCTCCCATAGAGAAGGACAGTGGCTGCGTACTAATCAAACGCAGCACCTGTCCTTCACGGGAGCTGCCTGATACGGCCGAGCAAGTCGCATGGAGCTGTACGTGCCAGCCTTTTATCGTGTGAATGAGGCCTTATAGGTCTTGCCCTTCCAGTTCATGAAGACAGTGGGCACTTACCTGTACGATGTACAGCTACTAACCTACACTCCTAGTACTCTAGTAGTAAGGTAATATGCAATTATAGTGAAGAGCAACACGCAATAAAAACGTAAAAAAGCTTTAATCGTCAGGAGAGATGAATACAACATCTCCCTTACCTGCCTTTCCTGTTTCCAGCATGTTGTTCACTACATAGAAGGCGCTCTTAAAAGTTAATGGCTGACTCACGCTACAATAATAAGCTGAGCGGGTTGGGACATGCATCTTCCCTCTAGCAATCCCTGAAGGAAGTGAAATGTTACCTGTTGTGCAATTCTCCGAAGTGTTGAGTGTGAGTACAGGAGCGGCTGCGCTCAAGCATGCCACCACAGTGTAGTTCAAGCTGTTCTTCCCCGTCTGGGACAAAAAAATAAAGAAAAAGATGTAAATAGAACTTAGTATAAGGAGCCTCAAGGATGTCACACTGTATGCTACTTCAAAATGATAGAACTTCTAATCAGAAAACAGCTTCTGCCTTTCTAGTTCAGGTCATATAAGTAACATTAAAGAGGCCCTGTACTATGGAAGCGGTATACAAAAAAAAAAGCAGGCAGAGGACTAGTCACCTGTGTTGCCTCTGGTCTCTCTGCAGCTAATATCTCCCCACATTGCTGACTGGTCATACCTTGTTCTGCTTTGTGTGGAGGCAGCCATGTTTGTAGAAGAACAGGGCTTTGCTTCCTCATGTCAGAGTTTCCAGCAAGTAGAACAATGAGCAGTAGAGTAGAGGCATCACCATATCTAATTTCACGGCTACTGAGCCTAGCAGTCTGAGCCAGCAGTACCTTACATAAATCTCGGCCTTGACCCCTATGTTGGTGAGCCGCAGCTTCCTGTCTACTCCAACAGCTAATGCTATCACACTAGGCTCTGCCCACTGGAGGATCCTCTGGTGGGACCCTACCATAGCATCACCGAAAAAGCCAGGGTACTACTACTACTTTTTAAGAATGAAAGTACCCTGGCTGATATTACTCGGTTAGCGGACTGCTCTGCACCCAACGGATCTGAAATAGTTTCGGGGGACACTATTTCACTGACATCAATGAGGTATTATTCTCCACTTAGGGCCACAAACCCACTGACACCAGTAAATTCAAGGACTATTCTCCCATAGGTTCCAGTGACACCAATGATTTGTGTGTGTGTGTGTGTGTGTGTGGGGGGGGGTATTCTCTCCAGGGGGGGCATTATGATGCCGACAATGAACAAATTGGGGGGTGGCTATCCTCTTATAGGTCCGCTATCCTACTGACACCGATTAATTGAGGGGATATTCTCCCCAAGGGCCACTATTCCACTGACACCAACGAATTGAGGGGCTATTCTTCCCTACGACCACTATTCCACTGGCACCAATGAATTGAGGGGCTATTCTCCCCTATGGCCACTATTTCCCTGACACCAATGAATTGAGGGGCTATTTTTTTTCTTCACTGATGGGGCATAGAAGGTTTTAGAATATTTTACTGTGCCCTGGTCTCACTATGGTTGAGAACCACTGCCTTAGACCTCACAGCAGATATACAGCTACAAGGCTTTAGGCAAGGTGCCTGGGCATCCCCACAAACCTAGGAGACTGCTTAGTCACAATTAACATTTCTAGAGGTCCCCTAAAACATAACCAATCTCCACTTTTTGAGTTCAGTTCCACTTTAATACAATAATTAGAGAAATGTGTGGTACTTTTAGGTATGGGGAGCATGTAACTCACTCCCCATCCTTAGCACTGATGCATGGCCACTCGGGTAACCTGTGCTGGCACATGGGGGTATGGAGAGAGTTCTCAGCTCTATGCAAGCTCCAAGTTAACACTGAGATCTTGCACAGTTCATCCTCTTTTTGCTCCTGGATGCCTAATGGGAGGAAAAGGGGAGGGAAAGAAAGTTGAGTCAGCAGGTGGGTCCATCATTCAGGTAAACCTGTTGGTTATCCACATATGGGCAATGCTGGACCCACCAGCTGACTCAACTTTCTTTCCCTCCCCTTTTCCTCCTATTCGGCGTCCAGGAGCAAAAAGAGGAAGAACTGTGCAAGATCTCAGTTTAAAGGTTCACTTTAAGATCCGGATTTTGACAAGATCGTATGCCCAACAGTGGTCTGTGCCTACTCAACTGAGGTCTTTGTCACTAGCCTAGTTGCCTCCACAAATTAAAACCTTATGTTCTCACGTATTATCGTCCCGAAGACGGTCTCTTGTAGAATGGTGCATGTGTACGACAATGACAACCAATGACATTTACAGCAGACATGTGCTGTTAATAAAAGCTAGAGAGCAGCCAAAGACCTGGAATACCTATACTGGAGAAAATGCTGTGTACTCTCCTCAGTGCTGCTCACAAGCCCAACGCACTTGGTCATGTGATCTCAGGTAAAAGAAAAGATCAGACCCCACACTAGGTTGATCCTCCTCTTCAGCAAAGATCATGTGACTAAGTCAAAGAAGACTTCTTTCCAGGAAAGGTGAGACGTGCATAATTCTTTATTCATCCATCCAATTAAGACCTTGTAATGTTAACATGTGAGTACAGGTGCACTTTGAATAAAAATGATTTGTTGTACTCAAGCACCCTACTGCAGGGGGTCATTTTGGTGGCAATTATTACCACCATACGGCGGTAATCTATAGATTCTACAGAATCATTGCTTTTAAATAGGAACACTCACCCTGTTTAGCTGCAGATTGACCACCAGCACCCCTCCATTGTCCATTTCAGAATCCAGACTGAGCATGACCACGCTGGGCAGATGAGCCACCACCGGCACTGAGGGGCTGTTGATGAGATGGAATCTCACCGACACTACATCCAGGTCCTCCCGGATTACGGGGTATTTCCTCAGGCAGGAACTGCCCCCATCAGACAGGGTGGTGGCATTGCTGGGAGGCAGCTGACCATCTTGCAGCAAAGTGTTGTTGGAGGACAGCGAGTTCAGGAAAGACAAGATTGACCTTGTTCCGATCACTCCCGGCTTACAGACTAGAAAACAGACATAAGTGGCTTTTACAATACAACAACAATACAACTAAAGTATATCTACATTTAAGAACAAAAATGTTAAGGCCCAGCTCTGGGACTCCGTACCAATGGATAACTTAAAGTTGTGCTCCGGACAGAAAGCAATTGATGCAGATATCTGTTTGTTATAAAATCATTAAATGCATTTTTTAAAATTGCAGCTACATTTGGCCAATCAGCTGGCTGGGGTTGTGTTTAACCCCTTCCTGCCAGCTCCCACTGACCCTTTAACAAAACTGTAACGCTAGAGGTGTTGCATGGGTTTTCCATAGCATACTGCAAGTGGAGAGAATCAGCAGTTGTGAAAAAAGTTACGTTTAATTTTTTGACATGTTAGTTGCCATTTAAGACTATGTAAGACTTAACCAAGGACAGGACAAGTTCCAGGAGCCAGGTCACCAATGCTTCTTAAAAGTATTGGCCCCTAATTTCTGAGGTTTTCTCTAGTTGTTATCAATGAAACTAGCGCCTACAAAAAATGTTGGGATTTGTAGTTAAAGCACAGCTGGAGTTGCCCACCCTTGGTTTACATCTACGTGAATCTTTACCGGCTCCCCTCTCATAGCACGCTCTGTTTTCAGTATATTGGTATGCCATATATTGTCTTCTTCAGCACACAAACCGTCAATGGCTCCGTGGCCTCAGTGTTTATATAAGTGGTGCCCTGAGGTTTTATATTCTGCCGGGAAGTTAAGTGCTCCAGAATGAGCCGTCACTGTGATTAACGCTCGGCGGTGAAAACAGAGCGGATTGATCACGGGGGATCACAGACAGCTCCCATAAACCAAGATTATGAATGTGCGGCTAAGCGAGCCAGCAGGGGCAAATTAAACAGGGACTTGCTAATACTATTTACAGACTTTAAAGAGAACCTGTCCCCGGCTTAAAAAATTGCAGGTAAAAAGCATAAAACGATGAGTATTTAAATGCTTACTTGCAGCGTCCTATCCATAAATAATTTGCTAGCCATTACTAGCAAATTTGACACCTTCAGGAAGAGTCAATATCCTAGCACAGGCCCCTCCTTCCTTACAAAACACTGCCCTCTCCTTTTCTGGGAGTGTCTAATTACTCTGTGTTGGCCCAGCTCCTATGCCGCTTTTTTCACCTCCCTACACAACCTTTAATGTGGCTGCTGGGGGATGAGCGAAGGGAAATACTATAGAGCAGCGTTAGGCAACTTCAGCACTCCAGCTACAAATCTGGTCAGGCCTCTGCCTCTGGGGGTCATGCCTGCGGCTGTCAGAGTCTTGCAATTCCTCATGGATTTTGTAGCTCAATACCAGCTGGAGTGCTGCGGTTGCCTATCTCTGCAATAGAGTGTCACTTCGGTGACAGCTCTGAGTCTGCCAGGGCTGATGACATCACATCCAAGATGGCGGCATCCAGCTGCACTCTAATGGTTTTTGGATGTCTACACAAGGGAAGCTTTTACAGGTAAATAACATGCCTAAGGCCCGATTCACACAGCGTTGACTCGGGCTGTACACGTCCGTGTGGCGTGCACACCCCTTATAAGGCCGTTCCCGGGAGGGACAGGTGCTGCGTCTAACAGCCTGTTCTTCCCTATGGGAGGACGCAGCCGTACGCTGTCAAACGCACACCCGAACTGTACCTCCGTGCGGATCCGGGTGTCCATACTCGGGCACACACAGGATGGATCCTGTCTGCGTCCGAGCACGGACACACGGACCCACATGGATGTGCAGTTCAGGTGTGCGTATGACAGCGTACGGCTACGTCCTCCCATAGGGAAGAACAGGCTGCTGCGTGCAATCACACGCAGCATCTGTCCCTCCCGGAACGGCCAGATATGGCCGTGCACGCCATATGGATGTGCACGCCATATGGATGTGCATGGTCCGAGTTAATGCTGTGTGAATGAGGCCTAAAGGTTACTTTAATGAGTTTGAATTCTTTAGCAGGCTTTTCACAATGCTTCTGGGCAGGACTGCAACCTCTTGTCACAGCATCAACAAAACCGCTGTAATTGCCTTAGCTGTCTTAAGTGTATCTAATGCCCAATTTATTTTTTACAGAGCTGCAATTTGTGTGTTTTATATCGGTCTAGAATTCATCTTAAATTACCTCTTTTGCACCGATACATAATTGCATTACCTGTTTTTTTTTTATAAAATGGATTACCTGAAATGTTGTAAAGCAGCTCGAAAGACATGTTGGCATTCACCCACTGGGGCATTTCCACCATGACGTTCAGCCACTTCTCCCAGGGCGGAGATGGGAGCAGTAGGACGCACGCCGAGCTCTGGCTGCAGTTCACCTGCTGGGGTGAGGCGCCAGGCTGGGTGACCGAGCCGACAGAGATCTTCAGCGGGCACCCGCTCTGGCTGCCATTGGAGGCGCATTTCAGCAGCTGCAACTGTAGGTCTCGGGTGTATTCGGGGACATAAATCCTGTAAACAGAGAAGTCACATGCAGCGATCAATGACAAGCTTACTGTCCTTCTACTTAAAAAATAAATAAATCAACCTAGTTGTAAAAATGAGGTTGCCAAAGATATAATGAGCGTTAACGCATTTCACCGGTCTCCCTTCAGCAGGGATTATGGGGTAAAATGAGGCGGAATAAAAATATGACATCTGAAATTATGTGTCAGCACATCCAGTCGACTAGTCATACAGGCAGCAGGACGGGTGAAAAGTGTCAGTTTTTCTTGTTACCTGATGTTTTGTGCTATAAAAATTTCCTTTCACTCTCATACTTCTCACATTCTTCAAAATCCCATACAAAGACAGTGAAGGAAGTATGCAAACCTAGTACCGGACACCCCATAAACTGCTTCATGTGCCTTTCCATCACTGACTATTATCAAGGGTCATGAAGCATTAGAAATGACACAATGACTGTTGCCTGTGCAGTTCTTGTGCGTGTTCACAACTGTCTGATACACGTCTGTCACACGTCGGCTCGAACTATGAGGATGAGTGATTTTCACTCACCTCAGTTCTCCTTTAAGGAATTTATTTATGCAGATCTAAAAGTTACTGAAAAGGTCTAGTTTAAAGTAAAACACAACCACCATTATTCAAAGCATGGGCTTTCCAAAACTAACTATGCCATCCATTTTCCATAGGAATGATGCTTTGTTTCTCATCCATACGTATTAGGTTTTATGATGCTGCATCGTGGTGCCATGCGGCTAGAAAAGGGTCAGGCACTGCTGGTCTAACTAGACGTGATCTGTCTATAAACGGAACTGCTCTCTAACTAATGACCTGTTGACATTCAACTGTCAATATTTATTTACATCTCACTAATTGGAAGTATTGATCCCTACGGTGGTGTATGCAGAGCAGAGTTGATTAAATGGGTGACTCCAATACAGCTCGAGTCAACAGCTTTAGCTGCATCTGGATATCTTATCTCACGCCACGATGGGTTATTAATAGTGCACTCCAATCAAACATAGAAATGGAAGTCTAGACTCTTTCCGAGCGGCTCTAATTTTTATTCTGAGGGATGGAGATAGAAGGTGCTGGATTGGAATGTAGATTGATCTCACAGTCAATATATAAACCCTATTGAAGAGTATATGTCTTGTGTGATGCTGCAAGGAGCACACTTGGTAATATATTCAACAGTTTGTTGCAGAAAGACCTTTATGAAGTCCACAAGTGGTTCCACAGCAAACTCCTGTTATGTTCATCAAGAGACATGAAGAAGGGCGAGACAAAATGTCCCCTAATCCTGTTGGATGTATACCTTTTACCAACTATTAATAAAGCCAGGAGCTGAATCCTTCATGGGTGTGACTTTACATTTAAGGTGCTCCTCACCGCACACACACAAAAAATGTCCAGCCTGAGGAACCAGACCCCTGCCCGGAGCCTCCAGGATTTGAAGAACCCGGGTGCCCCAAAAGCTCACACAGACTAGGTATCAGAAAGCCTGAAGCCCCAAGTCTTGACTAAATAAGGATTGTGAATCTCATCCAGAGCGGTCACAAACACAAAGTTCTCTTGAGAAGCACAAGGGCTTTGGTTGGCAACTCAAGACATGAAGAGGCCTCAAAGGAGCACTACATGCATAATCCAAGAGGTACAGGAAAAAAACAAGAGCCCTAAACCAATTGGTGAAAGACCGTAAGGAGTTTATTGCATCACAGAACATCAAAATTCAACAAGTTTCATGTGTTTTAAGGGCCGGCCTTCATCAGTGCTTGGAGATTGCTGGTAGGAAACTGGATGGTTTTGGGCTTGAATGGATTAAACATTACATTTTTACCAGCAATTCTAAACTCCGATGAAGGGCGCCCTTTAGAACCCCTGAAATGCATTGAATATTTTATGTTGAAATAAACTCTTCATGACATCTCAACAATTTATCTGGTGCTCCTGTTTTGTTTTTTTTCCAGGACCTCCCTCATTTTAATTCTAACATCTTGTGCTTTAGTTGGGTCTACAGCAACAGGAAGTGAAGGGAAATCACTTCAATGGGACACAGATAGGAAAGAAAAGCGGACAGGGATTCTTTCATCTTTCCCTACTTTATCCAAGATACCAAAAGCCAAAACGTTTTGTTTTAGTTATGGATAGTGTGAACAGGTTAGAACCCGACAACTTTTTATTACTGATGAGTGAATCTAGAATTGAAGCGCCACGCCATCATTGTGTGGCCAGATGTCGAGGGAAAGCCATTGCGCGTTTAAACGTGGAGTGGGTAAAGTCAATCTGCTGCCACCTGTGGAGGAGGAGAGTCACTGTACGGCCACATAAGGAGCAGGGGAAGTCATTGTGTCGCCATACATGGAAGGCGGGAATCATTGTGCAGCCACAAGCCTTATATTAATAGTATAAATGTAATTACTTGAAGCTAGACGAGGTTCTCGTAGGGTCTAAGACTTGCTGCGTTGGGGTATCAGCGTTTAAAATTGGCACGTCGACTTCTCTGAGCACGAACAGTTCAGGTTGGAAGATGTAGGTGCAGGATTTTGTGAGGCCCTGAAAAGAAAAAAAACACAATACTTGTAACTCTGGAGTGCAAACCTTAGCCAGTGGCTGACCCAAGGATAAACCTCCTTTGGCAAACCAGACGGTCCCCAAAACGTAAAAGTATTCCACATCCGCACCCAGGCCTTGGGGACCACAGGGAAGGCTAGTATACAATTGGGTAGCGTCACCTGGGCCAGTCACAGGTCCACTTTTATATTCATTTACACTGTGTGTGCTGCTATTAATGAAAAACCAAACTGACCTTTGTATTCAGTTTAACAGTCAGTTTATTGTGTGCTAATTATTAGGTGGGAGCAACAACCGTATCATCCGGCCGCCCATATCTCACATATTATAACATTGGTGTTTGCAGCAATTCCCCTGGCCAATCTGAGTTTTATCTGCCACAAGAAGATAAGGTCTATCAGGGCTTTTCTGGGAGGCTGGGTGACTCCAACTGTGCGTCCTAACAGCTTATCTAATATTTTAGAAATCTTAGTAAATCTAGGCTTAGTACATAACGCCTTTAGCTGTATGAGAGCAGTAGGTACAGCAGAGGCGTTCCGAGGCGTGGTGACACACGGTACCGGGTAACACCCCGCAGTGACGTCACGCACTATACCGCTGTTACTTGCCGGTGGCCATCTTGGTGATGGATGCCGGCAGAGAGAGGAGGGGACGTTCACCCGCCGGGATAAGGTATGCTGCCGGGGGCCCTTCCTCTCTCGAGCAACTGTCGGGCTCTCGGTCCATGACAACCCTCACCTCACCTTATAGTATAAGTGTTGTCACCCTAGGACAGGATGTCTGTTGCTGGCAGGATCACCAGATGAAAATAAAAGGGGAAAAAAAAAGCTTAAAAAAAAAAAAAAAATGCAACCGCATTTACGGACTGATAAGCTGCAATATATTAAATTCAGCTCTTGGGTTTAGTTATATCTTGTTCTCTTGCTGCCAGCCGTAGGCATATATGTGGAAGCATAGAGGTGAGTGTTATGAAATTCTGGAGAGAGAGAGAGGGAAGAGAGAGAGAGGGAAGAGAGAGAGAGGGAAGAGAGAGAGAGGGAAGAGAGAGAGAGGGAAGAGAGAGAGAGGGAAGAGAGAGAGAGAGGGAAGAGAGAGAGAGAGAGAGAGGGAAGAGAGAGAATATTTACAGTAAATGTATGGCTGGCATAAATTTTGTTCTGGGACATGCACCCAGCACTGTGAGTACGTTTCCACCGACAGCTCCCGTCACACAGTGAAGAGCAGTAGGACAAGCTCTGGACCACATCATCACTGTGACAGATGATCACATGATCGGGTAGCTCAGGAAATGCCTCCAGCATTGACAGCCTGTTAAAGGATCAGTAAGAGCCATCGGTGAGTGGTTAAGCCTCATTTAGCCGTAAAATGGCAGCGAACATGTCACAAATTTGTCCTCACGTTTTACACAACTGTCGACTTCAGGTATGGCAATTATGTTATATAAAGCTCTTCCACATAGGACATAACATTTTAGAGTTGCTGGCCCTTTAAGTGACCCTTAAATCGATGCATGATTGGACTTACCTGAATTTCTATCTTCTCTGAGTCTTTAGGTAGATGGGCAACGATGAACCAGTCCCCGGGTGTGGGGTTGGTAACATTCAGGTAGACGTAACTTTGCAGGGAGTTCTGGAATGTTAACGTCCGGTTATAGGAGAACGACACCGAAGTGTTGACTGCAAAGCTGTAGCCCAAAGGGTTAATCACCGGCGGGGCCCCGTATCGGAAATGTCTGGGGGATAAAACACAATTACTTATTGTGTCCGCTGAACAAAGACAAAAATAAATAGAAAACTGCGAGACTTACGCCGTAATCGCCACGTTCTGACACCCGTCACCTTTTCCCCGAATGGCCAGCAGGGACCACCTGAGCAGGACTGCGTCAGAGGGAACTTGGAACCGGAACAGCCGGACGTTGCCATACCAGTTGTAGAAAGACAATCGCTGAGGACCTTGAGAGTAGATCTCCGAGACATACGAAAGATCTGGAAACAAAGGAATATAACTACAGGCTGAAAATAAATGGCAACACCACCAAAAAATTGTAAAGCATTCCAGAGAAAAGGGGACCAATACCTTGGCGATGGCTTTTTTGGAGGGGGGAGAGGGAGAGCGAGAAAGAGAGTGGGAAGTAGGCACGGGGACCTAGGTTATGGCTTTTTGGGAGGGGGTGGAGACAGACTACGGTGGGGAAATCTTACCATTGGAGATTCCAATACATTTATAGTTGATTCGTATATACAAAAACTCAACACCGCCCACCAAAACCTCTAATATCTGTTCTCACCGTAGAAGGCTTTTAAATATCTGAATTTAGAGAGACCCCGTCACCAGACCAGTCATTTCAACAAAAATAATCCCATAAGATTTTATTGGCATTTGACTTATTTTAGCCATGTTATTTACCTGTAAAAGCCTCCCGTGTGAAGACATCCAAAAGCACTGAGACTGCTTCTGGGTGCCGCCATCTTGGATGTGATCTCACATCTCCAACAGACTCAGAGCTGGCACTCAATAGCATTCCTCCTCACTTCTCCCCTGTAGCTAATAAAAAGGTTATGCAGGGAGGTAAGGGGAAGGCCACAGGAGCTTGACCAGCACAGAGACTAATTAGACACTCCCGGAAGAGGAGTGGGCTAGAACAAGCAGGGAAGGGGCTAGGCTACAGAAAAGAGTACTCCTGGAGTAGTCAAAGTCTCTGAGCTTTTACCTGCATTTTTGGCAGGGTCTCTTCAACCCCTTTAATAGTAATTTGAGTAGTGTATACGTCTATCTAGGTGACATTCCTTAGAACATAGATAACGTCTATTTTTAAAATATAGAATGCGTGTCATATATACATCTTTCTATAGACCGGTCACACGCGCAACCAAGAGACGGAAGCCGAAGACAAAAAGGTGTTCTTGACGCTCGCCATATCCATCACAGAAATAAAAGAATGGAAAATAGAACTCAGAAATCACAGCGTGTTATCAGTACAATGAATGTAGGACACAATATAACCACCCTTGTTAAACACACCGATTAGCTGGGGTGATAAGAGTTCCAGCCCAAAAGGTCAAGTGAAGTCAAACAACAGAGGGCGCTATATCCAACCTAACAACTTCCTGGAAATTGCAGCCACTTTCAATCACCAAAAAGAATAAAAGAACAACCTACCGTTACCCAATTCAACTGACCCGAAAACTTTTAAAGTGATATTAAAGTCAAAAAGGTTTTTGATGATGAAATCACTTACAATGGATGCTGCTCTTTGATGGTTAAAAGTTTTAGCTTAATGCAGAATCAGCTGGTCCCTTATGTCCTGTTTTAGGGTGGTTCATTTCCCTTGCAGGGTCCTATGGAGCCACCCTTGTGTGTGCTAGTAAGCTGTGTGTGTTTCCACAAACACACAGGCACAGCAGGGGAAGACATTACCCTCCTCCCTGCTCCCCACTCCTTATTCCCTCCTCCAAGCTCAAATTTTCAGCCATATTGTCAAGCAATCTGATAGGGGGCGATCAATTTTTCGGATAAACTGTCAAGCAATCAGATAGAAGGCAATCACATTTTCAGCCATACTGTCAAGCAATTTGATAAACAGTGATTAGATTTTCAGCCCTACTGTCAAGCAATCTGAGAGGGAGCGAACAAATTTTCGGCCATAATGTCAAGCAATCTGATAGGGAGCGATCAAATTTTCAGCCATAATGTCAAGCAATCGGATAGAGGGCGATCAAATTTTCGGTCATACTTTAAAGCAATCGGATAGAGGGCGATCAAATTTTCGGTCATACTTTAAAGCAATCTGATAGGGGGCGGTCACATTTTTGTCCATGTTTAAACTCCTTTGCCCAATGTTTGATTGAAAATAGTGGAATACCCATTCCATTCTTTTCGATGGAAAACAGAATTCAAATTTAGATAACACTATTAGATTGCCACATGTATGACCAGCAAAGGCATGCCCCAAGCAGCTGTTCTACATATCATAGCTGGATAGTGCCAACGATCTCAGCGGAACCTTCATTTCTTCTTGGTCCATCATTCAGGTTTTATAAAAAGGACTAAGTGTGCACCTCGCAACCTGACCTGACTCTTCAGGGCAGTACTTTTTTTCTTCTTCTTCTATATTTCAATAGCATAATACAGACTATTTATAACGAAGGAAACAAAACAGAAATTAGATTTGTATTTAAGTGACGGCCCTTCCTCTCTGCTAACAATGTTTCTGCATTCCATGCTAAAAGAAGAGATGAGGAAGATCAGGAGCAGCTCCGGAAAAATATGTTTAACCTGCAACTACGGTCATTTCATGTTTTATTGGGTTATGGAGGAATTGTACAACAGGTAGTACAACGTATCATAAAAGGTAGTGTAGAGAGCACGTAGGCTCAATGCAGTTGAGTATATGAATAAAATGAAAAGGGGCTTAAACTGGGTGTACATCGGTAGATTTTCTTCATTAGGGAAAAAATCTACGAGATTCCCCCATCAGCGCTAAACAGCCTAAAAGGACAATACTATTTGCTTATACACTATATTACCAAAAGAATTGGGACACCCCTTCAAATCATTGGATTCAGGTGTTCTGTGAAAATTCCTTGCTACTAAATATTCCACGGTCACCTGTTAGTGGTATTATAACAAAGTGGAAGCAACTGGGAACAACAACAACTCAGCCACGAAGTGGTCGGCCACGTAACATGACAGAGCGGGGTCAGCGCATACTGAAGCGTACAGTGCACAGAAGTCGCCAACTGTCTGCAGAGTCAATAGCTACAGACCTCCAAACTTCATGTGGCCTTCAGATTGGCACAAAAATAGTGCGTAGAGAGCTTCATGGAATGGGTTTCCATAGCCAAGCAGCTGCAACCAAGCCTTACATCACCGAGTGCAATGCAAAGCAAGGGATGCCGTGGTGTAAAGCACGTCGCCACTGGACTCTAGAGAAGTGGATACGTGTTCTCTGGAGTGACCAATCACGCTTCTCTGTCTGGCAATCCGATGGACGTGTCTGGGTTTGGCGGTTGCCAGGAGAACGGTACTTGCCTGACTGCATTGTGCCAAGTGTAAAGTTTGGTGGAGGGGGGATTATGGTGTGGGGTTGTTTCTCAGGGGTTGGGCTTGGCCCCTTAGTTCCAGTGAAGGGAACTCTTAAGGCATCAGCATACCAAGACATTTTGGACAATTTCATGCTCCCAACTTTGTGGGAACAGTTTGGGGATGGCCCCTTCCTGTTCCAACATGACTGCGCACCAGTGTACAAAGCAAGGTCCATAAAGACATGGATGGGGGAGTTTGGGGTGGAGGAACATGACGGGCCTCCACAGAGTCCTGACCTCAACCCGATAGAACACCTTTGGGATGAATTAGAGCGGAGACTGCGAGCCCGGCCTTCTAGTCCAACATCAGTACCTGACCTCACAAATGGTCCAACATTCCCATAGACGCACTCCTAAACCTCGTGGACACCTTCCTAGAAGAGTTGAAGCTGTTAGTGGCAAAGGGCGGAGCCAGCTCAATACCGAACCCAACGGACTAAGACTGGGATGCCATTAAAGTTCAAACTCGTGTAAAGGCCGGCGTCCCAATACTTTTGGCAATATAGTGTATCTAAAAAAAACACTAACAGTTTACAAATATACTTCCTGCTGGACGGGAAATTACACTTTACTCCATGTGCTTGCCCTATCTAGCCTTGGATTCCAGGTTTCCCTTGCTATGTGTTCTACAGACACAAAGCCTCTATTGTCCGCCCGTTTGCTTTGCATACTTAATGACCCGTGTTTACAGTACATGATAACACAGGTCCTACTTCCGGGGATCAATGTGCCGACGGTTCTGTACTTTCATGTCTGCTAGAAAAGGATTCATTAGAGCTCCTCTCTTGTAAATCTGCCCAAAATCGCCGCTCAGTGGAGATATGTCATACGCCGATTGTTCCGATCAGGGGTGGGCAAACTCTGCCTCTCCAGCTGTTCTGGAACTACAAATCCCATGAGGCATTGCAAGATTCTCACAGCCATGACTCCCAGAGGAAGATGCATGCTGGCATTTGTAGTTTCACTGGAGTTTTCCCACCCCCATTTCAGATTAAAGACCAATCCGTAAACAGTGGGAAATTATCGATCACAGGTCAAAACAATACATATTGAACACTGCAACACACACACACAAACATTTATATATTAGGGTTGCCACCTGTTCGGGATTACCCGGACAGTCCGGGTTTTGAATGCTGTGTCTGGTTTATATGGCACCTGAAACCCAGACAAAAGATGTCAAAAATTAAGATAGGAGCTACTGGCCCCCCACTGAAAATAGTCTCGACTGTGATACTTACATTTTAATGGGTGGCACTAGTTACATATAAATAAGCCGTGACTCATTCTCCCCAAAAACAAATTCCATGATTCACTAGAGTGTTCAGGTTTTGCTGGAAGAAAAACGCTCGGCGATGCAAGTAAGAAAAAAACAAAAAAAACCCAGCAGCGGCGAGTCAGCACTGGTCCGGCGAGAGGAGCTCCAGGTGGGTTTCTAATTTAGATGGGCGGCACCTCTGAGCCAGCTAGATTAGGAGCCCACCTGGAGTTTCTCCCACCGGACCAGTGCTGACTCGTTGCTGCTCTCTCCAGTGTAACATTGGCACAGTGAGTGAGGACGGGGGGGAATGGGGGCACTATTAGGCAGAGTATAATTGTAAATGTATTGTCTGCACTGTATTAGCAGTATATACTCTATATGTACTACATACAGAGTACAAACTGCTAATACAGTGCAGACAATATATTTACAATTATATACTCTGCTAACATGAATGGATTAAATGATCTGTATGTAGCCCTGTACTATGGATCATTTACTCCATTCATGTTAGCAGAGTATATAATTGTAAATATATTGTCTGCACTGTATTAGCAGTATATCCTCTATATGTACTACATACAGAGTACAAACTGCTAATACAGTGCAGACAATATATTTACAATTATATACTCTGCTA